AGACCCTTCTTCGTTTCATTATATTTCGACTACTGTCCGGTACCATGTCACCCAGTCAGTACTTCATTCAGTATGCAATAAATAGATTCCTTCAAACGTTATGCGATGGTGAATTCTGACACCTCCATGTTTACTAGCACAAGCAAGCCTTCGCGCAGCAACTCTCGCGACGGATACGTGGGCAGGTCGATGCGGTTAAAGCACGAGTGAACCTTTGGAAAGGCGCCCTTGGAGTAGGGAATCGCTTGCAGTGTAAACGGGCACAGCCGGCCATCGTAGCTCGTGAGGCCCTTGAACCCCTGGAGGGGTACGCGGGACGACCCAGTGGTGAACTGGAGCAACTTGGCCCGGTCAGAGGGAGTCATGTCAAACTCGACAACGTCCCAGAACCACCCGACGACGTCCTCGAGCGACTTGGACACGACCGTGGACCGCTTCCAGTCACCCACGTCGATCTCTGAAAACCCACACAAAATCAGCTCCAGCTCTTTGTAGTCGAACGGCATGAGCAGCTCCTGGGGCAACACGTCGTACAGACCCTGCACCAGCCGCTGCAGCTGCGGCGCCACGCGCTCAAACATCAAGTACTGCACCATCCTCTCCACGTACTCGGCCTTGTTGGCGTTGGTCACCCCCACGTCCCGACCCCCGACCACCAGCTCCACTTCCGGTACATCCGTGTCCACACTCACACTGAACGTCAGCGCCAAATCGTCCACGTCATCGCAGTCGCGAATGTAGGTCAAGCTCGAATACACGGTCGGGTCCAAGTACCGAACGTCTTCGATCGAGACGGGGTACCCCAGCAACATCTTGAACAGCGGGACACAAAAGTGAAACGGCAGCACTTGGCCGTCGATGATGGCTCGACCGAGGAGCCTTCCAATCGCTTGAAAGTCTGCCAAGTGATACTCTCCATGATCTCTTTCCGAGTTGGGATTGATAAAGAACGACTGGTCGTCCTTGTTGGCAACCATAAACAGCCCCTGCTCGTCGTTGAAGATCTCGGTCGTGAGCAGCGTGTACCACTCCCGCGTGACGCCCCCCGCGTCGATGGCGCTTTCCCCCAACAGCGTGATCATGGTCTTGGTGCACAGTTGGTTCACGGGCACATGCATGAGCAGCTCCACCGACTCGTCAAATATGTTGCGTCGGTAGATTTTCAGCTTGGTGTGGTCGTAGTTGGACGTGGCCACTTGGTCCACCATCCAAGCGTACTTGAGTGAAAAGTGCATGCTGTGCAGCGCCTCCAGTTGCGGGAACCACCACGAAGGCATCGGCTTGCCGGTGACGAGCGAGGTCCCGGCCAATTGGGGGGCGAACGGCACGAGGGCCATCGAGTTGCTGGTCGTACAAGTTGCCACGTAATAGCCTTGGCAAGACGCAAGGCTGCCAAACTTGGAGTTGCGCTTCCACACTGGGGACTTGGTCGTGTCATTGAGCCCTCGAATCCACTCGCGGCGCTCTCTATGGTAAGCATAAGGACTAGTTCCTGTACATGTTTATATCCATTGGGCTAGCTATGGCCACTGTGGATATGATGTGAAGATGTGATTGGCATACCTGGCACTGCGCTGGAACGAGTTGAGTTGCCCGAGGGAAACCATGGTAGCGCCAGCACACGCAGATGCAAACTCGGGCGCGACGAGGAAATGCACCGCTAACCATCATACACGCCGCAAATGAATGGTTGTGGCAGCAAGGGCAATGTCGTCGTCGTATTGCTTGGTAGTACCTTTGCTGGTATGACAGAGGACGCATTCGACGTGGTCGTTCTCGTTTCGAAAGCTGCAGATATCGCACGACCACTTGTTGGCTTCCAGCGTCCTACGAGTCCGACATGTCAGCATGGAGCTGTAGATGAAGCGAATGAACGGTTCAACATACGGGTCTTCGAGGGCGTCCCGCTTGAGCCCATACAAGTGGCCCACGTGCCTGCAAAAGATGGCCGTCAATTCGTAAAGGAAAAGCAAACTGTGGTTGAAATTCGGTCCGTACTCGTTTGGGAGCAAGTTCTCGACCGGTTTGTACTTGGACCGGCAAAACCAGTACGCAGCCAGGACGATCACCGCGCTCACTCCGAGCGCGCTGATCTCGATTTCGTACAGCGTTAGGTTGTCGTTGTATCCCATCACTACACTCGTGAAATGCCAACCCCCCCCTTCGATGTGCAATCTCAACTTGGCTATGACCTCGTTCGTAGGGTTTGATTGGCTTGTTGATTTGTGATCTCAGGAGCCACAATCCTTGTTCCGAGGACATTCAAGTGACCCAGATTGATCTTGAAATGTTGGCCCAAATCAACAAGGTTTATATGTGAAAGCGGTTAAAACTTAACAAACAATGAAAGACAAACGAAATACCAACAATTACTTGGGTCACTCGAAGTATTTCGACCGAATTCGGCGAAACTGAACTTCTGGTCGGAACAACGACAACGTACTATTCGTATTTTTGCACCCAAATCCTACTTATATTAATAATACAGGATCATTTTAATCATAAATTTTAAATTGTACTCAGTTGTAGTATGTAGAACGAATATAATCTCATCGGTCCACCTTATATAGCCAGGCGCCGACGTTGCCTTTCTTGCATTTACCCACCACCATACAAACGTCAAGTGGTTTGGCATCGTACTACGCCGGCGTAACTTCAAGAACTTTTTGAATCAAACAATTGTAAACTCGAGCGACTCCATGGCGACGAGAGCGAACAAGGCGTCCTTCATGAGCTCCCTCGAGGGGTAAATGGGCAGGTCGATGCGGTTAAAGCACGAGTGGCCACGAGGAAATGCGCCGACATGGTAAGGAATCCCATACAAGTTGAACGGGCACAGCCGGCCATCGTAACTCGTGAGGCCCTTGAACCCCTGGAGGGGTACGCGGGACGACCCAGTGGTGAACTGGAGCAGCTTGGCCCGGTCAGAGGGAGTCATGTCAAACTCGACAACTTCCCAGAACCACCCGACGACGTCCTCCAACGTCTGCGTGACGTTCGTGGACCG